GTGCCTATAATCCCAGCTACTCAGGAAGCTGAGGCAGAAGAATCACTTGAACCCAGGAGGTGGAGGTTGCAGTGAGCCGAGATCATGCTACCTCACTTCAGCTTGGCCGAAAGGGCAAACCTCCATCTCAAAAAATAAAATAAAATAAAATATAAAAAAAAGTAGTGGTGCAGTCACATCTCTCTCCGGGAGTAAATGTCTTGCTTACCACAGAAAAACTAAATACGGTCCATACTTCTCATATGCCCGTACTTCTCATATGCACTTTCTAGAAACTCAATTGAACTTTTCCCAAATGTATGGCATGCCCAAGGAATAGAATGGGAGAGAAAACATATGATGAGCATTTTGCACCAGCCGGCAGCTGGGCTAGGTGGTTACTGTTGTGGCAAAGCAGACCAGGCTGAGGATGAAGGTGCAGGAGATGAGCAGCATGGACAGGAGTCTGTCACTTTCACCTGCCACCCACTCTACCACCTGTCCCAGCACCGACCTGCTCATCTGCATTCCAATTATAATCTTTTAGTTATTTTTAAATGTACAACAAATTATTGTTGACTGTAGTCACCCTGTTGTGCTAGCAAATCCTGGATGCTATTCATTCTTCATTTGTCATTCATTTCATACCCATTAACCATCCATACTTCCCCTCACCTCCTCACTACCATCCCCAGGCTCTGGTAACCATCATTCTACTCTCTATCTCCATCAGTTCAATTGTTTTAATTTTTACCTCCCACAAATGCGTGAGAACTTGTGCAGTTTGACTTTCTGTGCCTGGCTTATTTCACTTAATATAATGTCCTCCACTTCCATCCATGTTGTTGTAAATGACAGAAACTCACTCTTTTTTATGGCTGTGTAGTGTTCCACTGTGTATATGTATCACATTTTTTTAATCCATTCATCTGTTGATGGACACTTAGGTTGCTTCCAAGTCTTGGCTATTGTCAACAGCACTGCAATAAAACATGAGAGAGCAGATAACTCTATGCTAACTTCCCTTCTTTTGGATAGATACTAGCAGTGGGATTGCTGCATCATACGGTAGTACTATTTTTTGTATCATGAGGAACCTCCATACTGTTCTCGATAGTGGCTGCAATAATTTATATTCTCATCAACAATATATGAGGGTCCCCCTTTCTCCATATCCTTAACAGCATTTGTTATTGCCTGTCTTTTGGATAAAAGCCATTTTAGGCCAGGCGCAGTGACTCACGCCTGTAATCGCAACACTTTGGGACGCCAAGGCAGGTGGATCACCTGAGGTCAGGAGTTCGAGACCGGCCTGGCCAACATAGTGAAACACTGTCTCTACTAAAAATACAAAAATTAGCTAGGCATGGTAGTGGGCACCTGTAATCCCAGCTACTCAGGAGGTTGAGGCAGGAGAATTGTTGGAACCTGGGATGTGGAGGTTGCAGTGAGCCAAGATTGCGCTGCACTCCAACCTGGGTGACAGAGCGAGACTGCATCTCAAAAAAAAAAAAAAAAAAAAAAAAAAAAATTAGCCAGATGTGGTGGCAGGCACCTGTGATCCCAGCTTTTAAGGGAGGCTGAGGCAGGAGAATCCCTTGAACCCACTGAGCCAAAATCTCGCCACTGCATTCCAGCCTGGGTGACAGAGTGAGACTCTGTACCACAAAGCCATTTTAACTGGGGTGAGATGATATCTTATTGTAGTTTTGATTTGCATTTCTCTGATGACCAATAATGTTGAGCACCTTTTCACATGTCTGTTTTCCCTTTGTATGTCTTCTGAGAAATGTCTATTCAGATATTTTCTCCATTTTTTAAATTAGATTATTGGATTTTTTCCTATTGAGTTGTTTGAGTTCCACATATATTGTTTATTAATCCTTTGTCCGACAGGTAGTTTGCGAATATTTTCTCCCAGTATGTGGGTTGTATTTTCACTTTGCTGATTGCTTTGTTTGCTGTGCAGAAGCATTTTAACATGATGTGATCCCATTTGTCCATTTTTGTTTTAGCTGCCTGTACTTTTAGGGTATCACTCAAGACATTTTTGCCCAGTCCAATGTCCTGGAGAATTTCCTCAATGTTTTCTTTTACTAGTTTCATAGTTGAGTCTTAAAGATTTGTCTTTAATCCATTTTGATTAGATTTTTCTATATGGCAAGAGAGAGGGGTCTAGTTTCATTCTTCTGCATATGAATATCCAATTTTCCCAGCACCATTTATTGAAGAGATTGTTCTTTCCCCAATGTATATTCTTGGCACCTTTGTTGAAAGTGAGTTCACTGTAGATGGATGGGTTTATTTCCGGGCTTCCTATTCTATTCCATTGGTCTATATGTCTGATTTATGCCAGGACCATGTTGTTTGGTTACTACAGCTCCACAGTATAGATTTGAAGTCAGTTAATGTCATTCCCCCAGTTTTGTTCTTTTTGCTCAGGATGGCTTTGGCTATTCTACGTATTCTGTGGTTCAATATACATTTTAAGATTATTTTTTCTTCTTTCCTTTTCTTTGGGGGGTGGGGGTGGATGGATTCTCACTCTCTCACCAGGCTGGAGTTCAATGGAACGATCTTGGCTCATTGTCTCCACCTCCCTGATTCAAGCCATTCTTCTGCCTCAGCCTGCCAAGTAGCTTGCTACAGACAGGCGCCACCTCGCCTGGCTAATTTTTGTATTTTTAGTAGAGACGGGCTTTCACCATGTTGGCCAGGTTGGTCCCGAACTCCTGATCTCGAGTGATCTGCCCGCCTTGGCCTCCCAAAGTGTAAGTTTATTTCTTCTAATTCTGTGAAGCATGTCACTGGTATTTTGATATGGATTGCACTGAATCTGTAGATTGCTTTGGATAGTATAGCCATTTTAATGATATTGACCCTTCTAACCCATGAACATGGAATAGTTTTCCTTTTTTCTTTTTTTTTTTGGTGTCCTTTTCTTGCATCAATGTTTTACTGTTTTCATTATAATGAAAGCTTTCACAATAACAGCTTTCACTTCTTTGGTTGAGTTTATTCTTAGGTATTTTATTTGTAGCTATTGTAAATGGGATTACTTTCTTGATTTCTTTTCAGATTACGTATTGCTGGCATATAGAAATGCTACTGATTTTTATGTGTTGATTTTGTAGCCTGCAACTTTACTTAATTTATCAGTTCTAATAGTTTTTCAGTGGAGTCTTTGGTTCTCTTTTATTTCTTTCTCTTGCCTGATTGCTATAGCTAGGACTTCCAGTACTATGTTGAATAACAGTGGTGAAAATGGACATCTTTGTCACATAACTTTTATTACAGGATATTGTTATAATTGTTCTATTTTATTTTTAGTTATTGTTGTTAATTTCTTATTATGTCTAATTTATAGATTAAGCTCTACCATGGACATGTATGCATAGGAACATAAGAAAAAACATACACAGTATGTATAGGGTTTGGTACCATCTGCAGTTTCAGGCATTCACTGGGGGTCTTAGAACATATCCCTTGCATGTAAGAGGGAACTACTGTATATTAAACTAAACTGAGTACATGTGTGCCACTGTTTCAAGGTTTCAGACCTTTAAGATCCCACTCAATGGTTGCTATAGGTTGAATGTTATGGTTTCTACGTGTTGAATGTTTGTCTCTCCCCAAGCTGATGGTGAGAATTTGGTAGCTGGTGTGGTGGTGTTAAGAGGTGAAACTTTGGGAGGTGATAGGGTAGTATTACTGTCATTATAAAAGGGCAAGTTTGCCCCCTTTAGCTTCTTGGCATTCCTCCTTCTGGCTTATAAGCATCCAGCCTTCCTCCCCTGCAGATGACATGGTACACAAGGCGTCATCATAGGAGAGCATAGTCTCACCAGACATCAAACCTGCTGGGGCCCCTTGACATTAGATTTCCCAGCCTCCGGAACTGTGTGCCAATAAATTCCTGTTCTTGATGAATTATGCAATCTGTGGTATTCTGTTACAGCAGCACAAAATGGAACAGGACAATGGTAAAGTCTTAACTCATTCAATGTTTCCTTGGTGGTTTGAAGGTTTTTGTCAATTTCCAAACCTGTTTATTTGGGACTTATCTGCACAGTACTGAACCAGCTGTTCAAAGTGAAAATTCAAGAATCAATGGGTTTGTTTTTCAACAACAAAGCAGGGAATCTCTTAATAAATTGCTGCCTTACTAGTATAACTGCTGCTCTAGTATCCTAAAGGTTAATTAGGCTTCTTGTAGTGCCTAACTTAACTCAGAGGGAAATAAAAATAAAAACAAAAAACAAACACAACAAATTATAATTAATATTTACTTAGATATGAAAGTAAGTATAACCTTTAGATTATTCAAAATTCAGTTTGTGAAGGCATCTTATAGAACTGATATTTATAGGCCAGGTGTGCTTGCTTACACCTGTAATTCTAACATGTTGGGAGGCCGAAGGGAGAGGATCACTTGAGCCCACAGGTTTGAGACCAGCCTGGGCAACATGAGGAGACCCTGTCTCTGTAAAAAATTTAAAAATTAGCTGGGTGTGGTGTCACACACTTGTGGTCCCAGCTACTCAGGAGGCTGACATGGGAGGATTGCTTGGGCCCAGGAGGTTGAGGCTGCAGTGAGTTGTGATCGCACCACTGCACTACAGTCTGGGAAATACAGTGAGATCCTATCTCAAACAACAACAACAACAACAACAACAACAACAAAACCAAACCTGATGTTTGCAATGTTTTTAGCATATTTGATTTTTATTTAATAATTAATCTTTTACCACTGATTATGTTCTTTTCAAAAGGCTTGTGAATTTTTCCCGTTAATGTGGTCCACAGATCAAATATATCTGCCATCCATTCATTCGTTCGTGTTTTCATTGACTATAGCAGTTTCACCTCGCAAAGTAGAATGCTTGTATCAAGTAAACAGAATAAATATTTTATCTGACAACATGGGTACCTGATTCCTATACCCCTTGATGGCCCCAAACATTTTTACACTTCAGGAAGCCAAATCCTCACAAATATAAACCAGGTATCTGCATGCTTACCCTGGCAAGTGCTTCCTCAATCGTGATCATCTTTTCCTTGACCATCATCATTAGCTGAATCCGCTCCTCATCGCTCATTGTTATTTCACTGGCAACGTAACCAACGTCTTCTCCTGGAGATTGAGGACAAAGAATAACAGGAGTGAAAACAAGAACAGCGAAACAGAACGTCAATGCTGAATATCTGCTGTCTCAGGCGAGGGAAGAATGTTGCTCAGGACACTATGTATGTTGAACGTTACTGATGAAGCAAAGGGTGGGAAAAATATGCTGCTTTTAAAGAAGCGAATAAGCACCTCTGATTGAGAAACAGGCTTGCAGAACATGTGGATCTCACCATGTCACCCTAGAAACAAATCCTTCAAGATGATCAGAGCCTTTGAGATGGTGTGCCCAGTGGACGGGTTTTGGAGGAAAGTAAGAGAGGGCTCCTCACTATAGGTGGAGTAAAGATCTAATTTATACACCCAACTGGATCATACAAGCATTCCAAGGCTCCTTCAGCTGTGGGTTCTCTGTGTCCTTCATTTGAATATAAATGAGAAGAAAATATTTTTGCAAAGAAGTAAGAAAGAACCCTAGGTCATGACAGAGGAAGGAAGGAAGGTCACAGAGTCCAGACCCACAGCCTGGCAAAACCTTCCAATCCTACTAAGCTATTTCACTGTTATTATTCCTTGAAACTAAGTGCACCCGGGTGAAGAGGTTCATTCCTGTAATCCCAGCACTTTGGGAGGCCAAGGCAGGTGGACCACTTGAGGTCAGGAGTTCGAGACCAGCCTGGCCAACAAGGTGAAACCCCGTCTCCACTAAAAATACAGAAATTAGCCAGGTGTGGTGGCAGGCACCTGTAATACCAGCTACTCAGGAGATTGAAGCAGGAGAATTGCTTTGAACCCAGGAGGCGAAGGTTGCAGTGAGCTGAGATCACACCACTGCACTACAGCCTAGGTGACAGAGCAAGACTCCATCTGAAGACAAAAAAAAAAAAATGCCAAGTGCAAATCACAGACATGAAGCATGTTCAGTTAATCAGAAGAAGGGTGCCATATAGGTCTGTATCTGAAAGTATTATTGTCATAAATTGGTTTCCAAACTGCGGGAAAATCAACTTCCAACTCACACCTGAAGGCAGCTAGAACTGCAGAGATGAGAATGTTCTGTTAGATTCCAAAGATTTTCCTACAGAGCAAACAGACTGCTATTGCCTCTAGTATATCTGAGCCACACTGGGCAATGGTGCCTCTGGTCAGCGTGTGGGGAAGGACATGTTAGTGAACATCAGCTGTAACATCCCCACTCCAGTCCCGCACCCTGCTCTCCTCCCCATCTTTCTCATTCATACTTTTTACCAGCTTCCAATACCGTTAGGATGCCCAGCTGTGGCTTAATTTGCCTTTGGTGTAAAGGACAGAGGGAAAGAGTCTGCCTGTAGACTTGCAGGAAACCATTTCAGGCACAGCTGACTTTGGAATTTATGTTGCCCTGTATTTCCATCTCATTTCCATTTAGTAATCAATCAATCCAAAAATACTCCTCAAGTTCCCTTTGCTACTTTCACAGGGAGAATAACAGTGTGTGCTGGGTGAAGACAGAAGCCTGCTGGTTTGATTCATTTTACTGTCTGTGTCACCTCAAATGGCAGAGAGGGTGATGGGAAATTGGTTGGGTTCTTTAAAAATTCACGATAGGCCGGGCGCAGTGGCTCAAGCCTGTAATCCCAGCACTTTGGGAGGCCGAGACGGGTGGATCACGAGGTCAGGAGATCGAGACCATCCTGGCTAACATGGTGAAACCCCGTCTCTACTAAAAAATACAAAAAACTAGCCGGGCGAGGTGGCGGGCGCCTGTAGTCCCAGTTACTCGGGAGGCTGAGGCGGGAGAATGGCGTGAACCCGGGAGGCGGAGCTTGCTGTGAGCTGAGATCCGGCCACTGCACTCCAGCCTGGGCGACAGAGCGAGACTCCGTCTCAAAAAAAAAAAAAAAATTCACGATAGCTGGTAAACTGTTGGCTTCCTCCTTCCCTCCCTCTTGTACCTCTCCCTTTCTCCTTAGCTTTCTTTCTAAATTAGACTTTTTTTTTAGAATACAAGGTTTATTTTGAATCACAAGTGATGCTGGGTGAATACAAAAAACTGGGAATGCTTAAAAGTAGGACAACTTGAGAAAAAAAAACCATGTGGAATGTTGCCAAGGAACCCAGGTGTGCTGTGACGTGTCTACTGTTCACATCCATTTTTCTCATTTCCACGTGTACAGGTAATTAGATAGACGTTCCACACAGCACAGGACACTAAGGTTTGTAAAGCAAAACAAGTAGTGTCACTGGTGATCAAGGAAAACTTTATATCTACTGATAACCTCATTCAGTTGGACTGGAATCTGGAAGTGGATTTGCTCCGGTTTCTTCTCTGAATACTGGGGAAACATAAATTATGTAACTGAGCCTCAAAGGGATGACATATTTACTTACTATATAAACAACAACAAAAGACACAGCCAAGAGTAGGGCAGAACTCCCTTCACAAAGCCGCCCAGGCAAATTCCCATGATGTCAGACCACTGGAGTTTCCAGGGGCAACACCCCATAACCGTCCCGCTGCAGGAGAGCATCAGAAGTTCAGAAGAATGCAGAGGCCCTCAGTGGGAGCACGGACAGGAGAGCCCCAAACCAACACATGCGAGGGCTCTCTAGGCCCTTTCAGGCTAGATCTTGACGAGAGAAAAGATCTTTCTGAGGTTGGTGCGACTGAGAAAACTAAAGATTCGGCCTCTGCTCTCAGATCTACGAAAGGGAAGAACTGTGAACTTGTCCCCTTTTGGTTTTTTTTTTTTTTTTTTTTTTTTGACTTAAAGAAAAGAAAATCACTGGGACAAAGTCTTAAAGTAACAACAGGAATGTCAGAAAAGTTGAACATCTTATGGGCACATGCGGTGAGTTACGCTAACTTACAGCATCCACTGAGATTAACAGCACAGGCTTCTCCACATGTTAGAGCTGAAAGGACCTACTGTCCGCCAGCTGCATTGCAGTACCTTTTGAAGTCTGTCTCATTATTCCTTTCTGGTTCTTTCGGAAGTTCTGCCAGAAATACTTATTTTTCTTCTTCCAGTCTCCTTTTCCTTTAAAAAAAAAAAAAAGGAAGAAAAAGCGCAAGCAATAAATTCATTAATAACAAAAGTAGCCTCTTCCTTATAATTCAAAGCTGGTAAGAATACTTTGATTTCACAAAAGGACAGTTTTTTCTTTCAGTTTGTGAAAGAATGGGAGATGGCTATAAAGTTGTTTAAAAGAAATGCAAATTTCCTAGTAGCAAGATATGGTGCAGTGGGGTTAAGATAAAAAACAGAAACATCAAAAAGGAAGGCAAAACATGCATTCTTGTGTTTACTTTGATGTTTGTTTAACTAGTATGCCTAATTTGGCCTCGTCTTGCAGTGTATATCCCCCCTTTGGTCTTAGCCACAATTATTTCAACTACACCACAAATAGGGTATTTTAAGAAGCTCACTTTGTTTTGTTGTTATTTCTGTTGTTGATGTACCCTTGGTTTATTTCTGTTACTCCAGATTTAACGACAAGAACAGAATGGTTGGTATGTCCTGGGCCCACAGGTCAGGGGAGGTGGTCCCCTGGGTCTGTGGGTCTGGCCCCCACTGTTATTCTCAGAAGTGTGGTCTGCATGGGTCTCACTATGGCATGCATATGGCACTCCCTGGCATTCAGGCTACCTGGTGACCCACCTACAGCTTACCCAGGGCACAAAGAAAAGAAAGCCTGCAATCAGGCCGTGACATCTCCCAAATGGGTCTCTCTCTACCCGCCCCACCCCCCATCCTTTCCAGACTACTGCGGTGACTTTCAAGTGAAAACAAACTCGCTGCTATAGCTAGACATTTTTAATATGTGGTAGGGTTCTGATCATCAATAATATGTAATACCTTTTTAAAAGCAAAGCGAAAGGGGAGAGTAAGCAAAATGAGTGGGTAGAGCAGTCCTTTATTCTTTACAAATAAAAAGCAGCAGCAGTGGTGTCTGCCATCGTGCTGATGTGGCACATTCAAAGTAGCAGCCCTGTCACCACTTGTTGTCTGTCTGGTTGCTCCATGGCCACTGGAAATAGGACCCAGCGAAGTGATGGGTTTCCCCAGTCTAGACGGGTGGTGCCAAGCAATGAAGCAGACATGTGGGAACCATGTCTATGGTGCTCCCAGGCTAGAAAGGGCGTCGTCTGTCAAAACAGGATGCCCGCACATTTAAGTTTTGACAGCCCCCAGAGCTGTGGGAATGAAACCGGAGCCTTTCCACCAAAGACAGAGCTCCATGGCAAGTTTTGTATCACCCACTGCCTTTGGGCTTAACACTGAGGCAAATGTCAGACATGCAGGGTTAAAGTTGACTAGTTATTATTAACTCAACCTTGCTCTTGGACAGTTCAGGAATATTTCTTTTCTTTCTTTTTTCTTTTTCTTTTTTTTTTTGGTTGAGATGAAGTCTTGCTCTGGCGCCCAGGCTGGAGTGCAGTGGTGCAGTCTTGGCTTACTACAACTTCTGCCTCCTGGGTGCCGGCGATTCTCCTGCCTCAGCCTCCTGAGTAGCTGGGATTATACGCACAAGCTACCACGCCCGGCTAATTTTTGTATTTTTAGTAGAGATGGGGTTTCACCATATTGGCCCGGCTGGTCTCGATCTCCTGACGTCATGACCCGCCTTGGCCTCCCAAAGTGCTGGGATTACAGATGTGAGCCACCATATCCAGCCTATTTATTTTCCTTTTAAGAGACATGGTCTCTTCGTCCAGGCTGGAGTGCGGTGGTGCAATCACAGCTCACTGTAGCCTCAAACTCTTGGGCTCAAGGGATCTGCCCACCTCAGCCTCCCAAGTAGCTGGGACTACAGGTGCATACTGCCATGCCCAGCTAATTTTTAAATTTTTGGTAGAGAGCACATCTTGCTATGTTGCTCAGGTCAGTCTCTAACTCCTGGGCTCAAGCAATTCTCCCTCGTTGGCCTCCCAAATTCCTGGGATAAGAGAAGTGAGCCACTGAACAGGCTGAGAATATATTTCTTTAACTATAAGCTATATTCCCTTCTTCCTTCTCCCATTTTCAAGTTTCTGAAACAGAGATACAGCCTAATAAATGGTAATAGCTAACATTTATTCAGCTACTATATCCAGGCACTTTGCTATCTAATGGCAAATTTCATTTAATACTCAATTATATGATGCATCATTGTTCCCACCTAGCAGATGAGAAAACTGAGGCTTGGTGCAAGTGAGCTGCACAAGGTAATAGCTATTGAGTTGGCAGATTCAAAGGCAGGCAGCCAGGTTTGATTGAGTACTTATGTCCCTAATCACTAGCTGTTACTAAACCAAGAGTGAATTTTATAATCAAGAATATATAAAATATGCAATGCCTTAATTATGCATAATCTTGAATCCAAAAAATTCCCAATTGAAAGATGTATCCAAAGGACATTATTAGGGACACAGACCCCAGGATTTTTAGAGCAGCAGTAAATTTTTAAGTCTGCGTAATATTCCACCATATTGGATGTGCCATAAGTTAATTAACCAATTCATTCTTTGCTGGATATTTAGGTTGCTTCTAATTTTTTCTCTATTAACATAGAGAATATTCAGTCATGGGAAAATGCTCATAACGTATTCAACTTAAAAATTATAAAACAGTATGCAGAATATGATCACAATTATGTTTTTTTTAAATCCCCTAGAAAAAGGAGAATAAAGATGTACATCAAAATCGTAACAGTGTTTATTTCTGAGTAGAAGGATTATTGTGGGTTTTGTATTTTCACATGTTCATGTTTTCTATAAAGTATTAAAATAATTAAATAGGTAAACCAAGAAAAGTGGTACTGACCTACAGCGTTGTCTTCCGAGTTTGATTTATGAAGAGGGTTCCTAGAAAAGAAAAACAAATCAGATTACCAGGGAGCCTTGCTTTCATGGGAGAACTGAAAATCCTCCTAACTAGTTTGACCCGGCATCAATACTACTTAATACAGCCAGGGAAACTGTTACAGGCTATTTACCATTGGCTTTTTCTACCCGTCTGCTGACTTCCTAGAAATAGACTCATGTGCCATTTGCCGACATTTATTAAAGACTCACTCGAAGGTGAGACCTGTAACATTAAATGAAGAAGACAGACTTCACTAGATCGTGGAAGTGCCTTTCATTCTGCGAACTATTAATACAGTGAAGTTACTGCCATTGGGAAGTCTCTTGTGGAAGAGGAAAAGAGAAAGCAAATAATAATGAAAACATAAACTCAGCACCACAAATGCCACTTGGGCCTGCAGATAAGTACAGTGGTTGGCTCTAGGAAAATGAAGGGGGCAGGGAGGCGGGTGAGAGACCCACAATAGGATATTGAGTGCCCTTAATAGAGGGGGTGGCCAGTACATAGTTCCTCCAGTTGGTTGCTGCCAGTTGGCAAGTGCAATGTCTATCCTGCTGAATCTTCCAATGTTCAAAGAGAAGCCAGAAATCTGTATTTTGTTTTTGTTTTTGAGACAGAGTCTTGCTCTATTGCCCAGGCTGGAGTACAGTGGCATGATCTCAGCTCATTGCAACCTCCGCCTCCTTGGGTTCAAGCGATTCTCCTGTCTCAGCCTCCCAAGTAGCTGAGATTATAGGTATGCACCATCACGCCTGGCTAATTTTTATATTTTTAATAGAGATGGGGTTTCACCATGTTGACCAGACTGGTCTGGAACTCCTGACCTCATGCAATCCTCCTGCACATTCGGCCCCCCAAAGTGCTGGGATTACAGGTGTGAGCCACTGTGCCCGGCCAGAAATCTGTATTTTTATATGAGAGCTCTAACATTTTTAAGTGATGGCAAATAAACCAATGTTTTAAAAAATGTGTCCAAATCAATCAATACATGTCTGGGCATCAAATTTGGACCCCCCCACCCCCACCCCAACACCTTTGGCTGCCAGTTTGTGAAGGCAGATACAGACTAACCCAAATAATCTGAAAAGTGTACACAGCCCAACCCCAGTTCATTAAACATTTCGCCAGAAAAAAACTTAAGATAAACAAAATTTAAAGAAAGAAAGCGGGAAAACCAAAGAAAGTTAAAACTGGTTGTATCAAAAAGGGAACGAGGGGGGCAGATCACTTGAGGTCAGGAGTTTGAGACCAGACTGGACAACATGGCAAAGCCCCATGTCTACTAAAAATACAAAAATTAGCTAGGCTTGGTGGCACAGGTCCATAATCCCAGCTACTTGGGAAGCTGAGGCTGGAGAATTGCTTGAATCTGGGAGGCAGAGGTTGAAGTGAGCCAAGATCGCGCCACTGCACTCCAGACTGGGCGACAGAGTGAAACTGTGTCTCTCAAAAAAAAAAAAAAAAAAAAAAAAGAGGGGGAACAGTAGAGGGTGTAACAAAATCTTTCATTAGGTGTGTCCAAATCCCAGAAGGAAAATACAGTATCCTTGGGCTTGCAGCCAAGGGAAACCAGAAAGAAGGCACCTGCATCAGAACAGACTCAGACACTTGGGGGATTTAAACCTGAATCTTCAGTACAAGTTCACCGCCAGGAAGGAAGATGGAAGAGGTGATTTTTGCATCTGAAGGTTTGGGAAGATAAGAAAGTGGGAGGCCAGGTATGAGTCACACTGAAAACATTAGAGGAAAGGCTGAGGCAGGAGGAGAGCAGACTGGGCAACATAGTGAGACACCGTCTCTTAAAAAAAAATTTTTTTTTTTTTAAGTTTAACTGGGCATAGTGACATGCACCTATAGTTCTAGTTCTAACTACTCAGGAGGCTGCAGCAGGAGGACTACTTGAGCCCAGGAGTTCGAGGTTGTAGTCAGCTATGATCACACCACTGACCTCCAAACTGGGTGACTGAATGAGACTGTCTCATTCAGAGGAAGAAGAATTGAACATCATAATCACCTAAAGTGATTTTCTGCCTACCTTTTGGATAAAAGGACCTTGAGAATCTAAGGTGACCAGAGAGAGGGGAGGGAGGCTTTTTCATGCAGAGCCGCCTTTAATAAGCCACCATCCTTTGGTGTAGCTGCACTGGTGTGGGCTGACCGCTGGGTGCCATTTCTGAGTGGCAGGCCCATGCCCAGCAAGCACCACCATTCTCCACATGTGAGTGCAGAGAACTGTTGGTGACCAGCACAAAAATCTGAAAGCTTTCTATTGTAAACTAAGGGAGAATCAGAGCTAAGAACAGACTCAGGGGAGAAACCGCTGCAGAGGACAAGAGCTAGATTTGAATTCTAGTTATTTCCCCTTATTCCTGAGCTGTGAATACACAACATGTAAGGAAAATCTCATCACCAAATTGTGCCAAAACATGGCTAGGACCTACTCTCCTTCCTCCTATCCACACAAAAATGAAAATACCTGTATTTACCTGCAAGGCTTTTAGGAGGTAGCCATTTCAAAATTTAAATCATTCAGCCAAAATGTACTGAACAACAGCACAAGTAAGGTACGTGGATGTACAGGAAGAAAGGGGACCCACAGGTGAGGGATGGAGGAAGACAGGAACAAAAAAGCTGGGGAAGGGGAGAATGAGAAGAATGAGGAAGAGAAGCAGCAAATGTAACGCGCTCAGGGCCATGGGAGAAGTGGGAGCAAAATAAGAACAAGTTAGTTGGCTGGGACTGAGGCAGGAAATCCTTCAGAAAGAAAAAAGGGTTTCTGCTCAGTTTAGATTCTTAATTTTTAAAAAAAATCTTACTGTGCTGTACTTTGCATTTCAAGTCATGGGACTCAGCTGCCCACCTAACTTCAGTGGGCCGGGGTCTGCAGCTGGTTAAACATGTTTTCTGTAAGGGGCCACCAGAGGCACAGGGAGCCCCATATGTATTTTTGTCCTCACCCTAAGGACTAGAGATGTCCTTTTTTTTTGGACACAGAGCCTCCCTCTATTGCCCAGGCTAGAGTGTAGTGGTTCGATCTCGGCTCACTGCAACCTCCGCCTCCCAAGTTCAAGCGATTCTCCTGCCTCACCCTCCTGGGACTACAGGTATGTGTCACTACACCTGGCTAATTTTTGTATTTTTAGTAGAGATGGGGTTTCACCATGTTGGCCAGGCTGGACTTGAACTCCTGGCCTCAGGTGATCTGCCTGCCTTGGCCTCCCAAAGTGCTGGGATTATAGGCATGAGCCACCATGCCTGGCCGGGACTAGAGAAGTCTTGACCTAATTGCTATGGACCAAATATCACTACCTCAGGATACAACTGATGATGTAATAAGTGAAAACATAAATTGTGAAATTTTACTTTCCCTGAAAGTCATCAAAATACTTCAAAAAGTACACTGCAGAAAAATGTATGCTCCCACTGCTACACCATTATCCCAAAATGTAATTGCATTTTCCTCTCTGAAATGATGACTGACAATATTTTCATTATTTTTAATCTACTGTCTTTAAACTATCACACACTTTGATACAATTTTATCCTCTGGTTTGGACTTGGCCCAGGCAGTGCTTGAATTTCCCCAGGATGCCAGCAGATGGCACTGTAGTTTCTTTATTCATCTTGCTGTAGTGAGTAGGATTTTGTTTTTAAAATTTCACAAGTTCACCACCTAGATGCTGGCCAAAGAATAACAAGCCCATGTTTCATAAGAGCGAGGCTCCCCAACTCATCAAATTTGCAAAGGAGGAAAATGACACCGTACAAATTTGGATGCAGTGACTTTCTCCCTGCAAACAGAAGCTGGCATAGAAGCAATGCAAAATGCCATCTCCTTTCTCCCTGAGACTGATTATTAAAATTCATCCAGCAGGAGCAAAAATCAATGATATAACCCAAGTCCAAATGTGGATGGCAGCAGGTGGAAGGGGCCATTTACTGATCTCCTGGTGGAAGAAATAATGCTCAGGCGTCAGCTCCAAAGAGGCCTCCCGGTAGTACCTCCTTCCTCCAGCCAGATGCCCCAGGCCTGAGGACAGTGGGTGCTGGAGGTGGATCTGCTCTTTGGACTCATCTTTTTCATTGTCAGTGGGCAAAAAGGATGAGAACTTCAGCATGAATTTTGATGACCAGGGAGCAATAATTAATATTCTGCTGTGCTTTAAAAATCCATTTAAACATAATTATCATCAAGTACTGGATTTAACGTCTCAGAACTGAACCTTAGCAAAAATACTTGTTCATCAGTAACTCCTACTATTAAGACCCCAAACCTGCTTAAGTGTCAACATTTTTCCTCAAGATCCCTAGACTGCTTTAGCTGTTCCTGAAGGCAAAATTCACTTAAGAAAATTCCTACATTAAGGAATTTATCAATCCCATTAAAAAATAATAATTTAAGAGACAGTATTCTCAGAACTGAACTAGTTTCTTTCCTCCTACCTCTGTCTTTAACAAATTCTTTGCTAAATTGCTTTGTTATTCATTTTCACTCATTCTTTCATTCAGTATTTATTTATTCACCTCTCAGTAGGAGTCATGCATCCTCTGAGGTCCTGAGAACATAGCAATAAACAAGACAGATTCAAGGAGGGTGACTGCAGAGTCAAGGAGTGAGGAGAAATTGAGGTGATGGGACAGAAAAGGTTTATCTGAGCAGAAACCTAAATAATGAAATAACATTCACTTCCCCAGATGGGGAAAGCTGGGCAGGGGAACAGCAGGGGAGGGAACAAGAGGTCCCCTTTGGACATGCTAAATGTGCAGTGCTTATTAAACATCCCTGTGGAGACAGTAAAGAAACAGTTGGAAATGCGCGTCTAGAGCTGCAGATAAGAATTTGTAAGTGACTCGCATACTCTAAGCTCTGAGCCTGGCTGAACACTCTGAAGACTGAGCTCTGGGCCAACCCGATTTTTAGGGGTCAGAAAGAGAAGGTGAGGCCCAGCAATGAGACTTAGGACGAACAGCCAGTGGGAGAAGGAAAAGCAGGCAGAAT